ACACACACACACACACACACACACACACACACACACACACACACACATTACTGTTTTGCCTTTGGTGGTTGAAAGTTGCAAACTGTTTCCTTCCCCTCGCGCCCCGCTCTAAACAGAATTACTCCAGTTCTCTTTTTAGCTCCTCATTTATCCATTTCACCAAAGTTGCGCCTCGCCGCCTTTGGTGTGGCGTAGTTTTCACAGCTTTTCTTTTCAGCTGAAGTGTCAGCCTTTACGTCACAGAGAGGGACTCAGAAAAGCACGCACATCCAGTGGGTAAATACTAGGTGCTGGACAGAAGAGCATGTAAAAGCTGTTTTGTTACATTTTATATGTTTTACTTGGTTTGCGTACTTATTTTAAGCCCAACCATGATGTTGGACCCTGATGGAGCGTCATAGTTTGAAAAACGAGAAAGTGACATCTAGGGTCCTGACCAAACCACCAAACTGACAGGTGTAATTTTGGGATCCATAAAGTTGTGGGATTGTGAGCAGAAATGTCACAGACGCCACTGTTTTTGTTTCATCGCAGACATTTTTGAGGGCACTAAATAGTGCACCAATTTACTGAAACTCAAATAAAATGGAGGACAGCAATAATATAGTGTAGTTGATAGTAAATATGGTGGGATTTTGGACAAATAATGGATTTGTTTGCAGTCAGACAAATCTAGAATAGCATCAGACTTACCCTACGATGTTAACAGACCTTTGCCACAACAAAGAGTTTGATTTGTTTGGCAAAAAGCCGTAACTAATTAACTAACTAACTAACTAACTGACTAACTGACTAAGATATAAAAAGTTCTCTATGTGATATTCAGAGAATTAATACGGCATCAAACAACTATTGTCTATGTAAAGGTGTAGTGGAGTAATGTCTACCTGAGCAGAGAACGAAGTCGCTCTCCTTCTGTGTGTGTCCGATTTTCTGCTTGCTTTGTTGACATAGTCGGGCTGGCCGCGCATGTTTTTAGTGCATGTGAGCGTGCACCAATCGGCTAGCTCACGGGCGCCGCTCTGCCCCGCACGCATACGGAGCTCATTCCGTGGTTACGGCTGATGACGCCGTCGGTCGCGACGTAGCGCGGCAGTTGCTACTCAGGTAAACACTGTTAGCTCTGACAGCGCTTTTGCTGTTGTTTGCACTGTTAGCGCCGTTACCACCGCTCAGCCGTCGCCACGTTGAGAGTCGCGTGGAGGCACTATATGGTCTCATTTTCCAATTTAGCAACTTTAGCGATGGCTCTGTTACAGCTATGCCTTTTCCTGCAAAAACACGTCAAAATGGCTGCTGTGGAAAAGGCCTATTGATAAATTCAATCATGCTTTTCCAAAGAAATTGAGCAAGAAAAAAACTTTTTTGTCTAACCAGCTAACTGTTTTTACCATTTTCTCCCTTGCAATATTTATAACATATTTGCTGACAGCAAAAGCCCAGATTATAACCAAATAACATTTTTATCAGATGAGCTAACTGTGGTTTGGTGTTGCCTACATGAACACTTCCTGCAGCTGGAAACTTTAGAAGTTACTTTATACTTTTGGGCACATTTCTAAATACATTTAGCATTCAATCAAATGACCACAAACTAGCTGACACAAAAACAGGTGAGGCGGGGTAGTATTGCACAACAGGTGATTCGTTTTTGGGGCTATCTCTATAGTATAATGAAATACAAATCAAAGCACAAATCTATCATGCGTAGTCTGCTGTGGACAAGATACAGGATGCATACACAGTGCACAGAGAGTAAGAGGATTGAGGCTCAATAGGAGCCCTGCATGAGAGCTGAAGCTGTTGCATGTTGACAACTTCAGCATATTTCATCGAATTCATCTTGCAATATGGACAGAAAAGCTCAGTCGTATGTTTCAGCTTTGCAGAAAAACAGTCAGAGGAGTTGGGACTGTAAACATTTTGTTTGTATGTGTATACATAAGGTATGTCCAAATATGGTTACATTATAGTTGAGCAAGATGTGGCAGCAAGATGCGTTGCTGCAGGATTTAATCCCAACATGTCATGATCTCTCTGATCTGTCACACTTGTCCTTAAACGGCAAGTGACACAGTGCTCCAAACCAATCTGTGTAAGAGGCTGAGTCAGCGGATAAATCTCTCCTTCTGTCCGAAGAGTACATTTCTCAATAACACAGTGATTGGATCATGTTCCTCTGGCTGCATTAACTGGCTCCGTAAGCCGGACTCTGCTCATGCAGCAGGCTGAGGTGGTGCAAGGGACACTTCAGTGTTCCCACTAAAAGCCTCCCACTCAGTTTGTAAACGGCAATAAGAAACACTTTATTCTAATTATTCTGTTGTCCAGTCAGTTCAATATGCTGACAAGCATTCGCATTTGGATTATCAAATACATATCAATTTATTTGTTTTTTTAAAATGCTTTTTCAAAAATCTCTTTACAGTCATCTGCAAATGTCATATTGGAGATAAACATAAATAATGGAAGCTGTAGCTAAAACTGAGGATACTGAGGCCTTCTGTATTTTTTTGGGATACATTTGAGGGGTCTTATAGCAACTTGGGGTGTATGAATGAAAACGTGATAGATATTTTATATGATTCCATCGTTAAATATGTATTAGACGTATCAGAATTTGACTAAGTACAATGAATAAATCAAACATTCAGTGTTTCCCCATCCGAAATCCTGCAAGTGTGGAGAAAGCTCTAAAACAGCATTTAGACCGTAATGTTTGTTATTGCAATGCAAAAGTCAGAATGATTCAAGAGTGTAGAGTGTTTGCTGTCCAGTCAAATCAAACAATCAATGTCTTGGCAAACAAAATATAAAAAATAACGAGAACTCGTCACACAGAGTCACTTATTTAGTCTGACCAACAGTAAAAAAAAACTGTTTACTTTTGCAATATGATATAAGAAAAGCACACATTTGAGAATTTGGCCTATCAAAATGTTTGCTATTTTCTAACCTGATAAATTACTTAAACACAATATATTTATTTTCAAATTTACCACTGAAAAAAATGAATAATTTGTCTTTCATCATAGTTTTGCCTTCGATAAGTCAATAACATATTGTTTTCATATGACCAGTTATTCCCTTTAAAGTAGAGCTCCTCAATTAACCAAAAACAACTGACATTGCAGCTACAGGACCTTTTTGTCCTCTGTTACTGAAGAAGAAGAAAGTCATTCAGTAATGTACTCAAAAGTTTTTCAGGTGAACACAAAGTATGTGAAAATATTTTCTGTCTGATTTGCAGTTCATCCTACGATCACAATACTGAAAGTGAGAATTCAAGCTTTTTTCAGCCTCTCTGAAATAATCTTTGAGGAAACTCACTGAACTGAATGTTAGCCCTGCAGCATTTCCCACTCTGATAAGGAGACACTACTGTAAATCTTCTCTGTCCTCTAGTACTGTGTGTCCATCCTGCAGATCCCCTCTAGATTTCACCGTGTTTATCAGGAAGGAGTGGAGGCCTCGTGCTTAGAGAGAGAGCAGCCTGTGACTAGAGCATCAGAGTTCAGACTCTCACCCTGCTGAAGTGTCCTTGAGCAGCAGAGTGAGGTGGTGCAGGGACACTTCAGTGCTTCCGCTAAAAGCCTCCTACTCGATTTTAAACACAATTAAAGCTGCGAGCAGCGATGAACGGGCCCTCGCAATCTGCAGCGCGTCGGGGGTGCCGGCGGGACTCCGGCCTGCGCGGCCAAGAACGTCCGCGACCGTCGGACGGCGCGTCCGCGAGCGAGACGGATTTAATCCTGCGTGGACCGCCTGATGCTGGAAATGATGCTATGCAAATAGTCCGATGCTTCCTGTATCCGCTGCCTGGTGCTACAGAATGTGTGCAAACATGCATCATGTGTCAAATGTAAACCACATTGTGTAAAAGTCATGTAAATCGGAGGTGTTTATCACAAAATCCATATTTCCTTTCGCCGGCAGGTGGCGCTGTGAGTATTAGTGGAAATTAGCTTGTAGACATCCTCAGGCCATGAGTGTTATCAAGCATGTGAAGTTTGAGACTGTTTGGAACAAGTCCAGCTGAGTTACATCAGCTTTTTTC